CATCTGGGGAGATGTGGCTGGACCCAGGGCGGAACTGGGACCGGGGTGTGGGTTCGAGGTGGTGGCAGCCTTTTGGGTGGATGGAGGGGCCGTCTCCAGGAGTCAAAGTGGGTGTGGGGATCTTCAGTTGCAGGGGTGGTGGTGAGCTAGCGGGGACCCACGAGGAGCACGTCTGTGGATCCCTGCACCCCGTTTCTGTGATTTGCATGTGGTCACTTTCATAGTCTGAGCCCCCCAACCCGGCCTCCTTGGTCCCGACCTGCCCCACACACCCAAAACCTCAGCTGGATATGGTTCCCTGCTCATGGCGCAGGCCGCCCACCCGTCCACCTGGCCGCTGGAGCCGGCCTGTGGGTGGGGAGAGGTTGGGTGTGGGACAGAACGGGGTGCGGCCGGGACAGACCCAGAGACACAGCTCCTTCCAGCATCGTGGACAACAGCAGGCCTCGCCCAGCCAAGGCCCCCAGGGAGGCCACTGTCTGTGTGTGTGCGTGTGTGTGTGCACGCCAGGCCTTTGTCCTGGGCCCCTGGGCAACTCTGCCCCCAACAGCCTTCCAAGCCTTTGGGAAGGTTCCCCCAGGTCATATCAACAAGAATGTTTACTAGGTTTTTTTCCTCTCCCTCCGAGATTCAGCGAACACTGTTTCAAACACTGTTTCCAGCAGAGGCGTTTCCCACAATTTATGACAGCGACATCTGCGTGGGCCCGGAGGCGCTGTGCCCGGGGGGCTTTGCTGCAGCCAGGCACATTTCCTACTTGGGAGCTGATGCTGCGGTGGAGGCCTCCGGATCTGTCAGGGCGCCTGTGGCCAGCTCAAGGGTTCTGTGGAGCCCCTCTGTTCCCGCTTCTAAGGAACCATCAGTGAACATCTCTTGTTGGCCAGAGGGGCCCTGCAGGGTGCTGGGGTGCCGTGGCGACCAAGGCAGACCCCATCACACGCTCACCGAGCTCCTGGTTTGGAGGGGCCATAGACAGCAAAATGCAGAGACACATTAATCTGTAACTTCAAAGACTGGTAAATGCTTTCAGGAAAATAAAGAAGGTTGAGGAGATGGAGAGCAGTTGGGTGGCTCCTGGGGATGCCTGTGTCTGGCCGCTGGCTGTTCCAGCGTTGCCCGCCCCCCAGGTGTGGAAACGGAGGCGTCCAGCAGCCCCACGGCACAGCCCCTTCCCTGGCGTGAGACCTGCGCCCACGGACGACGCACCTGTACCCTTTCCTCCACCTCAGCTGCCCAGCCTGACTGTGTCCCCTCGCAGCCAGTGGCCAGGGGCCAAGTTCCTGCCCTAATGGCCGTGAGGGGGACACCCCGCTGTCTTGACCTGGCCTTGGCCTCTGGCATTCCCCTGGGAATCTCCCCGGGTTGGGGAGCGGGGCAGGGACAGGACCCTGTGTTCTCACTGAGGGTGTGCGGGGGCTGGACAGTGTGACCTTGGCCAAGACCTGACCCCGCTGTGGCTCAGCCACTCCGGCCTGGGCTGTGCGAATCAAAGGGTCATTGTCTGGCTGGCGTGGGTTCCGGGGAAACCGAGGCCAGCTGCCAGTGGCCTCCTGCTCCCGGCTCTGTCTTCCTCCCTAACCCAGAGGCTCTGTGGGGTGACCTCAAACAGGTCACTGGCCTTTTCTGGGGCACTGCCTCCTCCTGAGACCCCAGTGACGACCTCCCCTCTCCTGGCTCTGCCCCTCTCCCTACCCTATCCAGCCCCGAGGCTCATCCTAGGACCTCCACCCGCAGCCTGGCCCCCGTGGCCCACTTCGTACCCCAGCTGCCATAACACCTCCCTGGCTCAGACACCCACCGTGGGTGCCGTGGCCTCTGCTCACCCCCCCAGGCTTCTGTCTCCCTCGAGGTAAATCCTGACAGGTAAACAGTAACAATCCGGTGTTGTTCTGTGGTAGAGGATGCCCAGATAGCAGAGGTGCCCCAGGCCACACCCAGGCCTGGGAGAGACTGAGGAAGGCTTCCCAGAGGAAAGGGGTGTTGAGGTTGAGACGAACGTTGGTTGGAACGGCAGGGGTGTGCGCTGGAAACAGACGCTTGTGCTGTGAGTGAGTGGAAGTGCAATTGGGGGTGGTCGGCAGAACGGCGGCCCCAGAGACCACGGGGCCCTCATCCCTGGAACCTGTGGGTGTCCCACCCTCCCCGGCCGAAGGGGCTCTGCAGGGGGGACTGAGTTGAGGACTTTCACACAGGGGCTCATCCTGGGTTATACAGATGGCCCACTGTCCTCGAAGCGTCCGTAGAAGAGGAGATGCCTGGCCGGGCGCGGTGGAATCCCAGCACATTAGGAGGCTGAGATGGGCAGATCACTTGAGGTCAGGAGTTCGAGACTAGACTAGCCAACATGGTAAAACCCTGTCTCTACTAAACATACAAAAAAGAAAAAGGTGGGCATGGCGGCGTGTGCCTGTAATCCCAGCTACTTGGGAGGCTGAAGCGGGAGAATCGCTTGAACCTGGGAGGCGGAGGTTGCAGTGAGCTGAGATCGTGCTCTAGCCTGGGCAACACAGCGAGACTCCAGCTCAAAAAATTTAAAAAAAAAGAAAGAAAAGGAGACGCCTGCCCTCTATGGTTAGAGATGGGATAAGAGAAGGACTTGGCTACCATTGCGGGATTCGGAGATGGAGGAAGGGGGCTCAAGCCAGGGAATGTGGGCGGCCTCTAGGAGCCTGGAAAGGCGCAGATTCTCCTTGGAGCTGCCAGAAGGAACGTGGCTCTGCCAGCACCTTGATCTTCCCCCAGTGAGACCCGTGTGGAACTTCTTTTTTATTTTTTTTTTGAGACGTCGTCTCGTTCTGTCGCCCAGGCTGGAGTGCAATGGTGCGATCTCGGCTCACTGCAACCTCCGCCCCGCCGGGTTCAAGCGATCCTTCTGCCTCAGCTTCCGGAGTAGCTGGGATTACAGGCACCCGCCACCACAATTGGCTAATTTTTGTATTCTTAGTAGAGATAGGGTTTCACTGTGTTGGCCAGGCTGGTCTTGAACTCCTGACCTCAGGTGATCCACCCGACTCGGCCTCCCAAAGTGCTGGGACTATAGGCGTGAGCCACTGCGCCCGGCCCCCATGTGGGACTACTGACCTTCAGAACTTGTGCAAGAGAAAAAATTGTGTGTTTTACTTAATTATTATTATTATTATTATTTTTTGAGATGGAGTCTCGCTCTGTCGCCCAGGCTGGAGTGCAGTGGCGCGATCTCGGCTCACTGCAAGCTCCACCTCCCAGGTTCACGCCATT